GATTCAAATAAGTTAAATGCAAACAAAATAAATACACATTATTATCAATATCTAATTCAAAATTTTCTTCTAAATATAGAAAAATAGTTCTATATATCTTTAAAACACATCGATTTATATCACCCCATAACCTTTCAATGCGTTGATTATGAACAGAGCATCCTGCTATAAAACTACCACATCCATACCCTCTATATCTTTCCATAAATTGCTTTACTAAAGCATTTTCACCACCATGATCTGCCCTTACTCTACTTGGAATACCAAATTGTTATATTCCTTTTTGAAATTGTGTTAAAACAGTAATGGATTTATTGTTACTACTGCAGTTACAAAAAGTGATCATTCGTGAATAACCATCTATTCCTGCATGCACAACAAATTTCCACCTAATTAGCTTGTGATTTCCATCAATATGCCAAAGTGCATTTGGGCCAGCAACTTGATAAACACACCTTGGAATTATATTGGACCATCTTTGTATCATTCCCCAAGCATCAACATGATTTAACGACTCACGTAGCCTTTGACAATGAACATGTATTCCTCTTGAACATAATACACCTGCTACTATTATCTGTCCAGAAAATGGTTGTTCTCTTTGTATGTTTCTGATTTCATTATCTAAATCATCATTTGATTGATATATTAGTGTATGCTAAATCATCAGGCAAATTCAATTCAATTCTTCTTCTTAAAATTGTTCTATAAGAAACACCGAATATATCTGCAATTCATATCCATGTATGTCCTTCTTGTCGCAATATTCTAATAATATTTTCATTAATCAATAGTTTTGGCCTTCCTCCATTTTCTTCTCTATATAAAAGAGGTTGTGATGCCTCATTTTGTAAAAGATTGATCCTAGACTCAATCATTTCTTTTAAATTTGATAATTGAATTAATCTATGGTCCACATTATATTGCAAACCCAAATGGACATACATTGAATGCAAAGTTTCAATTTTTTCCAACTGTAATTCCAATGAATTTAAATCTTCACCTTCATGGAGAATACGGGAAGCTATTCTAATTATTTCATCAGCAAAATTTTCAAAATTTCTTTGTTGTTCATTCATTTTAATATTAATAGGCAATAAAAAATAATTAAGGTGTAAAATTGTTTTAGTATAATGAAATATAGCTTAATCACTGCAAAATTAAAATCTAGTTTTATTATGTTTGCAATGTTTTTTAACTGGCTACAAAATTAAAAGAAAATTCAACAACTTAATGATTCAATTAATATAACAAAGCAATTAATATGGAAAGATGTATTCTTTTATTGGGAAGTGC